TTGACCCATACAATGTATTGTTGGCTATTGCTACAAATATACCCCAGCGACTTAACACTGCTTTTGTGCTCCAGGGTGCTTCCTTCATCATTAAAGGAATAGTTCAGCCAGAAATAGTGCTCACCCACAGGATCATCCGAGATCAGGATGAGTTTGTTTCTTCATCAGGTTTGTAGAAATGTAGCATTGCATCAGTGTCTCAGCAATGGATGCTCTGCAGTGAATGGGTGCCGTCAGAATGAGATCACACCAGAACACTTTTTCACTGGAGGAAGAGTTATTATGGATTATGGACTCTATGGTGTTTTAGTTAAAAACGTCTCATTGAGCGGGTTCATTTTGGCCATCAGGTTGTTAAAAGCATCATAAAAATCCAGCTGTTGTTGTGAGATGAGAGCTTTGAGTTCGGAGGGTGATCGACGTGATCATGTTTACACAATATTACACACATTTCTCATCTTATTCTCAATGGACGCTTTTCACAGACTGTGACGCTTTTCCACAGTTATTAACATCATAAATCTAAGTTTTTTTATTTAGTAATTTTTTTTTTTTTAAGATTATGGGTTTCTAACACTAGACTTTGTTTTTCTGACAATTCAATAGAATTAGAGTAAACTATGTTAACGCTGCTGTGTGAGTACAGGAGTGACGGATAATTTGCCATCTGTTAATTAATTCAATTAATCCAGCATTGATCAGTGTTTCACAGCAGCAGGTTGGACATGTCTAATACGGGGTTATTATCGTCAACTAAAACTGTAACAAAAATTTTTTAATTACTTGAAATAAAAACATTTACTGAAATAAATTATAAGTTTTATTTCAGCCAGTTTCACAGACAATACAATAAGAAAACAGTTAAAAAACAATAAAAAAATTCATTACTTCAAATAAAAATATTTAAAATAATATACATTTTATTTCAACTAGTTTCCAAGGCAACACAATTAAAAAATAATAATAATTACTCGACGTGAAAAAATATAAATGATTATTTCCGATAGTTTTTCCAGGCAACAAAATGGAAAAAAAACAGTAAAAAGTAAAAATAGTTAAAACAAGTAGTTACTTAAAATAATATATTTTTTATTTCAGCTAGTTTCAAAGGCGCTATACCTCATTTTTATTTTAGTTTCAGTTAAAATAACTAAAACCATATATGCAAATAAAAAACTAATACAAAATTACTAAAATGTTAAGTAAAATTAAAATGAACAAAATGTGAAAAATTCTAATTCAAAAGCTATGATAGCACACTGCAAAAAATGATTCTCTTGCTTAGTGTTTATGTCTTGTGTTCTAGTATAAATATCTAAACATTCTTGAATCAAAATGCATTTACTGTACGAGTAAAATGAATTAAGATATTAAGTCGTCTTTTCTAAAAACAAAAAAATAAAAAAATTGTTAGTTTTTGCTTAAAACAAGTAAAATATCTGCTAACGTGGCAAGAAAAATCATCTTAATTCAAAGGCTAAACAAGATTATTTTTCTTGCCTCATTAGCAGATATCTTACATGTTTTAAGCAAAAACTAACAATTTTATTTATTTTTTTTTACAGAAAACAAGACTTGATATCTTAACTCATTTCGCTTGTACAGTAAATTCATCTTGATTCAAGAATGTTTAGATATTTATACTAGAACACAAGACACAAACACTAAGCAAGAGAATGATTTGAATCATGATGAAGAGAAGGACAGACGTGATGTTCTTAGGTTTCAGGAAAGACGTCAGCGTCTGTAAACATAAACACATTTGGCGTGTGTTTTCAGAGATGCTCATCTGCAGATCTGTAGGAGGACAGAAATGAAGTCTCCTACACAGCAGCGTCTCATTCACATCTTCTTCTTCTTCTGTCTGTGATGCTGATGCTTTCTCTGTTCCCTGCAGCTCATCTTCATCTCATCACGCTCGCCGTTCCTGACAGAAAGAGATGTTCTTCACAGCGGAGCCAGAGCATTTGATCACATCACCCTTTAAAGAAAAGAAACCAAAAACGACTAACAATCCACCGCGAAAGACACATTCAGTCCAACGCTGCCAGAGAATCAGAAGTTTGTAAAGGACCTTCTATGTTTTTGTAAAGAAAGCCTTCAAATACAAGAAGCATATTTTTGATATTTTCTAAGATGATTTTAAAGATGTCACACAGTATATGATGGAAAATGTATTTATGTACTGATTAAAAACATGAAGTCATCTGCACGCGTCTTTATTAAATCACAGATGAGTTTGAGTTTGAGCTGAGAGAATAAATGATGAAAGCAGACAGCTCTCATTAGTAGAGGTTAACCATTACTAGTAGTGCTAGACTAGAGCTGATGTGATGAAGCACGGTTATAATATAAAGTGGAGTGTGTGTTTGTGGAACGTTCCTTTGGAAATGTAACAAGTTACAGACTCACAAGTTACAAGTTATTTAAAATGCAACAAGTAACAATTACTTAAAGTAATGTATCTGATTACATTTTATTACTTTTATACAATTCTAAAGAATGTTTTCAACATGTAAAGCAGGCAGGGTTAACCTTAACTCAGCACTGATTACTGTCAGACTTTCACAATCCTTCATCACTTGAATTAAGATTCTAATAATTGAATTTTAAAGCACAGCCACCACAAGGTTAAATACAGATTTAAAATCATAATAGCTATGATGCTGTTTTTGAAATCAAATCTTTGTGTAGTTATGACTGGAAACACTGGCATCTAACAGTTAATCTTAAAAAAATAAAGCATGCACATAAACCCAAATAGAACATAAATCAGTTATGGATTAAGAATGTGTCCTAAACTCCTGAAACATTAGTGTCTCATATTTTAGAGCAGTTGATGCAATGTATGAAAGAATGCAATTAAATCTGTATGCATGTGAAAATATTCAGATGTAACCTTTTTTGCAATCGTTACATTTATTTTGTAATTGAGGAGAGAGATGTTTTCACCTGCTGGACCAGAAAGAGCTGAGAGATGCACACTGAAGAGCCAGATTCTGTGACGGTGAGATATTAATATTCATAACCTGTGTGGAAGGCTCATGGGAAACTGTAGACATAGCATTTAGTTAACCATCATTTAAAGTCAACATTTGATGCCACCATGACTTTTTCATTCTTATATGGGCTTTTTCCATATAATATATCATTTTTACTAGAGACTATCAAATGTGTATTTGTTTTAAAAATGCCCATGTCATTCTATTTAAGATTTAATTCATTTCCGTGTCTCTTCCAGGTCTAGAAACAACACTTTTGAAAGGAATCTTCCTCATGTGGTTCTTCAAAGACAAAAAAAGGAATATCTTGATTTGTTTGTTTGATTCGTCTCATCTCGAGGCTGATTTAAAGGCTCATGTCATTTGATTATAACAATGCACTTCTGTTTCAGGTCTCTCGTCCCATGATGCCGTGCTGCTGAGAGCGGGAGAGCGGGGCATGTTGTCACACAGTTCACTGCAGTGTTTCTCAGGACGGGTTTGTTCTCGATTAGTAACAAGCTCTAATATTTATTTATTTATCCTTTATTTTTCCAGGAAGGTCCCACTGAGATAAAAGAAATCTCTTCTTCCAGGGAGTCCTGGCCAAGATGACCGTACAAAAGTTTCACAAACATACACCTCACAAGACAAAATTATATAGAACCAAAGCAAAAACAATAATCATAAATCAGTACATTAATTAAAACAACAACATGGTTCATTTGTTAAACACTGCACTAAATGTTTCTAATGGAGTTACATATGGGGCATGTTGTCACACTGTAAATAACGCTGTCTTCTGATTCAGACTGTATTGTAGGCCATTAATGTGTTTTCCGCAACAGCTGAATCACATGCTGTTAAAAAGTAAAAAGGTAATGGCAACTTTTTACATCACAATTCTGACTTTTTTGTTCTTATAAATCAGCGACAATAAGTAGTAATTTTGAGATTATTCGGAGATTTTTCTTGCAATTCTGAGTTTTTATTTTGCAAATCTGTTTTTCTCTGAGTTTACATCTCACAGCTCTGTCTGTTTTTGGAATAGAATAAGAAAAAGTAGGGTTTTGGAATTAAAATAAGAAATATCTTGATTTTTTATTTATTTTTAAGTTTGGTTTGATTTGCCCTGTTTTAAATGATTTGAAATGATTATTAAAGTCACCTTGAAGATCTGCTTGAGAAACACTGATTTGAAGGCTCGCTTTATTTTATTTTGATTACCATGACTATTTTTATGTTAGTTTTTGTGTTTCATAAGTGTTTCACATCCGGTTTTCACTCCACTAGACAGGACATTTTTTTGCTGCTGTCTCTTTAAATGTTCTATGCAAATGAACTCATTTCTGATTGGCTGTGTGTGAATGAGTGACAGCACTGCGCTCGCACACTTCCACGCTTATCATTAGTTAAAAAAATTAAATCTGTCCTACTTCATGTTTCTCACTTCGTCCTTTAGCCTGCTGCTGTTATCGGAATACATTATTTAGAATACAATATTTTATCATTATGTCATGTCAGAAAGCTTTATTTGCCCGCGACCCTGGCTCTTGAGTTTCTGGCACGTGTGATTTCGTAAAAGCAGCCGTCCCGAAGCCAAACCTGTCTTTGTTCTCACTGCATCCAAATTACAGAGATCATGAAGCTGCTGCGACCGCTGGAATGAGCTTCTGCCATATCTGACATCTCAACATATTTATGAATTGTGCAACAGAGACGCACGTGGCGTTCGATCAGCAAACGCTCTCAGTAGGCCTCACGTTCGCTGCCACGTCGCGCGGAGAGCCATAAATGGATATAGATCCATAGATCTGCTCACAAACCGAGCATCAAAAAACACAACGGAACCAAAGATTAACTGAGTGTCACAGAATCATCATGCAGCAGAACTGAAGCCACAGCGAACACATTTAGCTTATGAAAACATTGTTTCGAAATGTCTCGTTTTCTTGTAATGATATTATAACATTATTTAAAGGTTACAGAATGTTTCTTGTAGTGTTCTAGTAACTTTCATGCAGCAGAACTGAAGCCACAGCGAACACATTTAGCTTATAAAAAAAATTGTTTCGAAATGTCTCGTTTTCTTGTAATGATATTATAACATTATTTAAAGGTTACAGAATGTTTCTTGTAGTGTTCTAGTAACTTTATTCTCACCCAAAATATACAATTAACTGAATGTTTGTTTTTAATAATCTAAGAATGTTAAAATGTCCAGGTTCCTGGTTATGGTTAGAACTTAAATTGTTACAAAAAGGTTTATTAGAATGTTCATCAAGTACAAATAACGTCGTACACTTCTTAGTGTTTTTGTCTTGTTTTCTAGTAAACATATCTAAACATTCTTGAATCAAGATGAATTTACTGTACAAGTAAAATGACTTATGATATGTCTTGTTTTCTGTAAATAAATATACAAATGTTGTTAGTTTTTCCTTAAAACAAGCAAAAATATCTGCCAATGGGGCAAGAAAAATAATCTTGTTTAGACTTTGAATTAAGATTAATTTTCTTACCGCATTGGTAGATATTTTTGCTTCTTTTAAGCAAAAACTAACAATATTTAGATTTTTTTTGTGTGTTTTTTTTTTAGAAAACAAGACTTAATATTTAAATCATTTTATTTGTCAAGTAAATGCATCTTGATTCAAGAATATTTAGATATTTATACTAGAACACAAGACAAAAATATTTTTTTTGCATTGTAAGGACGTTCAGAGAATGTTGTTCTAAGAATATTTTCTCTCAACATTATGAGAACGTATACAATAGGCTATAGTTTGTGAACAAACTTTGATGTTGGCTTGAGAAAGCCAACATGGGCAGCTTGAAGCACAAATCCAATATAAGGATCCACATCTGATTTATTTCTTAACAGTTAACTTGAGACACAAACAACTGCTTTCGAGAATATTCACCAAGATATCATGTATTTTGACATGATCTTGTATGTATAATGAAGCGAGAGTGAAAGTGCAAGCATTGTCAGAGATGTCTCTAAGTCAGAAAACAGCTGTCGAGCACTGACTCTTTCATGTGTTCTTGTGCTTGAATAATGTCAAATCGCTTGAATGTTTTAATTGGCAAGGCTGAAAAAACATGCAAATGATAATGTTTTCATTATTCTAGAAACCTTGCAACAGACAGCGGTGTTACACGGTGTTTGGTCGTACACTGATTACACGATTGGCCCCCACTGTCATTTTGCTTTTTGATGGAAATAAAAATCATTAAGTTCAGCTGGAAAACATACGCTACAGTTCTGAAAGCGTCTGCTCTGCTCCATACAGCCAGGGTTGCGAGACAAAACTATACCAGTTAAAGGGTCCATTTTTGGAAATTGAGATTTCTACATCATAATAAATATCTGAATAAATAAGTTTTCTATTGATGTATGGTTTGTTAGGATAGGACAATAAACACATTATAAATGTTAGAAATGTATTGCAGAAACACATTACAAAGACTCTGAAGTATGTAGTATTGTGGAGTTAAACCATTAAACAGTTTTTCACCAATTCTGTGTTCTGTTTTGGGGCGGGGCTAAAACGGTGGCTCGATGCGTGGCCCCGCCCCTAACACTATAATAACTACTGCATCAGAAGAAAAAAAAAAATACCATTCCGTTGCAGACCAAGTGGGATGGGGTTGATTCTCGGGTAGCCGGTCAATGTTCTCTGAATTGGATTCTGGCTCTGGAGGCTCAAACATGTATGGATGTATAAATCCAATTAAGCTACTAGAGGTAGCATCAGTAGCATCCATTCAGGTTGTAGCGGTATTTGACAGAGATGCCGCTTTACTGTGAGTGGGCGTGGTTTCAGCGCAGACAGCGGACACGCCCCCAGCGTTTGAGAGCAGAGAGTCCTGCTTATTTTTTCAAGATTTTGATAACTTATTTTATTTACTTGGCGGGTTTTTTTATCATTCAAATTTGGCTGGGTGGTTAATAACACATTTTTCTGTTGTGTGACAAACTCAGAACACATATTTTAATATCGCTTTACACGGACTTTAAAGAACTTTTAAAAACCGTTAGTGAAAGTTGTGAGCGTGTAATCGGAGGTTTGCTGTGAGCGAGCAGAACGTCCTGCTGGTGGCTGATGGGACAGGGAGCGCTGATTTTCCATGTTTTTACCATAGACTGTATAAAAACATGGACGTAGTGTCCGTGACGTCACCCGTAGAGTTCCGAAGAGTGTTTTTGAAGCTCAAAAGTGGGCGGAGCCAGCCGTCGCCATCTTGGCAGCGCGTCACCGCGCGTCACTCCCGGATTTTTCTGCTGTAAAGTTGGCCATTTTAACATGGGGAGTCTATGGGATTGACTCCCTTTTGCAGCCAGCCTCTAGCGGCCAGTTGATGAATTGCAGTTTAAGTCACTTCCGTGTTGGCTTCACCAGAGAGAGCGGGAGGTTGCCGCTTGGTTTTTATATGTCCTGTGTGTGAGCAGCAGCCCATCTCCCTTCATTAGAATGCAGATTAAAGTCGTCAGGTCAATGCCACACATCTGCAGCTCATTGAGACACCGACCTGCAGGCCGTTATATTCAGCTCGCTACAGTGCCTTGACTTCGATCTTTACACCGCGTTTAAAAGTGTCTCGTTTAGGAGATTCTCAGCTTTCACTGAGCTGTTGTGTTGATCCAGCGTGTTGAGTTGAGTTGAGTTGAGTTAAACGAATTAAATCTTGTATTTAACCCGTTTAATCCCGCATTTTTCCCAGATATGAAAATATCCAAAAGATGTGTCATTAGTAACCCTTTGAAATATCAATAATTTTTTTTGTTTTTGTTTTTTTTGGGGGAAAATTGTGTGAAAAACTGTGTTTTATGGTCGGTCACAATTGTGACCGGTGGGATAATGTTTATACTGAATTAACATATTTCTGCAGTCATCTATTTTACTATTATGTGGTTACTATTATGCATAAAAACCCTGGTACAACACTTCTTAGCTAAGACAAAAGACAAAACAATACAACTAACGTATTTCAAAATTGTTACTTTATTGCAACATATATGATCAAATTGTTATATTAGTGCTACCAGTATAACATCAATATTGTAACTTATTTGTAACATTTGAACTTTTAATTTAGTGCAATATTTTGTCATTGCAACGTTTTTGTATAATTTTCACTAACAACTGCAACTGTTTACTCATTCTGTGACCACACTCAACAAAACTGAATATATGTGAATTCATATATTAATACTAGACACCTTAAAGATAACATGCACCAAAAATCTTTGTCATATCTTTGTTAACATACTTTACTAGGCTTTTGTTTTGGAGCTTTGATGCAGTCATCATCTCAAGGTGCAAACAGGAATTAAACTGCTCTGGTCATGTGATAATTTGCAGTATGTGACACTAATTGAGACCCTTTATTAATTCCATATTTGCAGGAAATGCACTAAAACTTCATACAAACATCCTATTTATGGTCAGTATTGTGACTGGTGGGATTAAATGGGTTAATCACGTTCATCTCTCCCTGAAGTTCTTTAACACTGCGCTCCATCAGATTCAGAAAGCTGGAGAAGAGATTGTGACTTTAAATGTCTCACGCTCTCTTTCTCTTGACAGCTTTTTCATGATGATGGCAAACGAGAGAAATATGACAGCAAAGAAACAAGAAGGTTCAGAGATGGAAATAAACAGCAACAGTTCATGTCATCTTCATGTTTGCGGATTCTGTGACAGACGCTGGAGCTGAAATGCTTTGCACTTCTGTTTCAGGTCTCGTCTCCCATAATGAGAGCGGGGCATGTTGTCACACTGTTCACTGCAGTCTTTCTCAGGGCATTTCTGCATGTTCTTGATCATTTAACAGTAAACTGTAGGCATTAATGCATTTTCTGCAACAGCTGAATCATGTGCTGTTATATGGAAGTTTGTAAAGAGCTTGTAACAAACAAACAAACAGGTAATTGCAATTTTGTATCTCACAATTCAGGCTTTTGTTCTTGCAATTATGGGAAGAAAGTCGGAATTGTGAGATATAAACAGAATTGTAAGATATAAATTCACAATTTTGAGGAAAAAAAGATATAAACCATGGAATTCTGACTTTTTTCCTCAGAGTTGTGAATTTACTGTATATCTTCCAATTCTGTTTTTTTGTTTTTTTTTGCCACGGAATATAAAATAAAAAAGGTAATTGCAACTTTTTATCTCACAATTCTTACTTTTTTCTGAATAAAATTATGAAAAAAAAGTCACAATTACTTTTTTTTTTGTTGTTCTGTGGCAGAAACAAGCTTTAAGCTTCCGTAGTTATATAAACTTGTCCCGTATGAAATAATTAATGGACTGAACTGAATTCATGAAACAAATTATTGATTGAATGGCATAAACTGCTTAGCTTGCAAGTAATTTTTTTTTCTTAAAGAATCAGAATCAGAAAGAGCTTTATTGCCAAGTATGTTTGCACATACAAGGAATTTGTTATAGTGTCACAAGCTTCCAGTACACGGAGACAACAACAACACACAGATAATAAAAATGAGATGTGAATAAAATACACATGCATAAATATAAACCACAAAAAAAGAATAAATAGTATGTACAGGTGTGCTATAGATAGAATAGGAATAGAATAAAATAAAATAAGTTGTAGATCTCTTTACAGACTTTACTACAGGTTTAGCAGAAGACTGGTCAGAACTACTTTAAATTAGCTGCAAAAAACAGATTGGTCTAATTTGATCTGATTAGCCCTTTGTTAGCTGCAAGTTAGTCAGACTTTAAGAGTTCTTACTGTGCTTCTGTATGTGGATGAGCATAACTAGACGAGCTAAACGAGCTCTGAGGCCACATGTGGCGTGAGACCAGTGTTTTATTTGAGTTTAATGAGCAGAGGTCATCCGCACACGGCCTCATCACACTTTAACACACAGATGGATGCACATTAATCTGCATCGCTGCAGTTTCACTGCTGCTGTTGTGTTTCTTTCTGTGTTGTTGAGGACAATAAACTTCTGTCACCATCAGAACATCAGACTCAAATCCAGCGGCCAAACCCAGAATTCCACAAATTCATTCCAGACAGTGACAAACACACATCACATTCTGTTCTAAAACACCATACTACTACAGTTTCACTGCTGCTACTGAGCTTTTCTCCTTCGATTAAAAACAGAAGCTCAACAACAGGCACTTTATATGTTAAATCATCCATGCACTGACTGATTCAGTATTATTGAATATTTTAGAGAAATCTTACTTTGTAAATGCAGCACGAGGCGAATTATAGAAATGTGTTTTTCTGCTCCCAAAGTTTTTTTCTGAATTTACATCTTGCAGTTCTGTTTTTTAAATAAACAACAAAAGAGGTAATAACTTTTTTATACCTCACAATTCAGAGAAAACGTCTGAATTAGCCGATAAGTCTATTTTTTTTTTTTTTACGAAATATTGATTGAACATTCTAAGAAACGTTTTTATAACATATTTTATTATTTAAAGATTTATTTTAGGCGTCTTTGCCTTTATTTGATAGGGCAGCGTTTAAACAGGAAGTGAAGTGGGAGAGAGAGAGGGATGGGATCGGGAAAGGTCCACGAGCCGGGATTCGAACTCGGGACGCTCGACGCGCTGCCTATGAGGCTATCTGCGCCAACCTGTGTATGCTTTCTTCCGTTCTTTTTTTCTGTTTTGTTTTTATAATTATGATGGTTTGCTTTTCTGCTGTTTAATAAAAAAAAGAAAGTAAGAAATCAGAAAAAAAGATTCGTGATAAGCGCTCTGAAGTTCCGATCTAAATCAAATGATTCGCGATCCGCGCTCCTGATTCAGAGTTTCGAAAAGCTCCGTTTCACCCATCAATGCGTGGTTTTTAAAATCATTAGAAGCGATGTCGAAATTCGAAAATTGTTGGCTCTTGATCTGGTTTTTGCTAGTGAATCGAGTTTGAGTTTGAATCAATCGGAGCGGTTCCAGCGTAAATGACTCGCTCAATTTAATCGGTTTGTCTGTTCCTCCGATCTTTTCGCGTCTTCAGTCATGTTTACACGACAAGCTTTTTTATTCAGCTTTGAGATGATGCATAAATCTTAATTTCACAAAATTGACCAGTTTTGTGGTCCAGGGTCACATATCATGCGGTTTTAAGTGTCACTTGTGTAACTCTGAAACTGATCCAGAAACGGTAAAACTTCTGCACGCGCAGCAGCTCCTCCTCATCTTCCTCATCATCTTCACCGCATTCTCAAACGGCGCTCCAGGAGCCCGCGGCGCGTTTTCTCGCCGGTTTTGCGCGGATTATGGCGCGGTGCGGGTTCGGTGTCGTTCTGCTGTTTCTGTGCGTTTCAGCTGGCGTTCTGACGGTGTTCTCTCAGCTTCACCCGGGATCGAGAGCACGGATGCGATGGATGAATAACGGGCGCTCGTATCAGCCGGTGAGCCCCGGGTCTCAGAACGTGCCACTGGGACGAAGAGGTGTCCGTGATCACAGACCGGCAGAACACCAGTGACGGGATGGTGTCCGATGACCCCTACGATCCCTACAAATCCGTCAGGAACAGTCCCTATAGTCCATACTACAACTACTACGACTCGTACTACAGACCCAGACAGAGAAGCGCGCAGAGGCATCACGGAACCAGATACTTCCAGAACGGTGAGAAGATGATGATGATGATGATGAACAGTGCTGGGAAGGTTACTTTGGAAATGTAACAGGTTACAGATGTTACCCTGTTTAAAATCTAATAAGTAGTGTAACTATTTTAATTACTTTATTAATGCAACTGATTACATTTGATTACTTATACATCTCTAAAGAATGTTTTCAACTGTGTAACATGTAAAGCAGGCAGGTTAACTCAGCACTGATTACTGTCAGACTTTCACAATCCTTCATCACTTCAATTAAGATTATAATCATTGAATTTTGAAGCACAGCCACCACAAAATCATACTTTAGCACCTCTTTTTACTTTGAGATTGATTTGAGGTTAAATACAGATTTAAAACTATAAGATAGTTTAATAGATTTGAAATGAAATCTTTGCAAAGCGATATGTCAGGAAACATCTAACAATGCTGTGGAAAAACAGTTAATCTTAAAAATAAAGCATATACATAAATCCAAACAGGGAAATGTAATAAGCATGTGTCCTAAACTCCTGAAACATTAGTGTCTCATATTTTAGAGCAGTTGATGCAATTTATGAAAGAAATAATTTAAATCTGTATGCATGTGAAAATATTCAGATGTAACCTTCGTTGTAATCGTTAACATTTTGACAAGTAACTGTAATTTAATGACACTGATTACGGTTACATTTATTTTGTAATTCCGTTACATGTAACTAGTTACTCCCCAGCACTGATGATGGTTATAAATGTGCACAGGTCTCCCGGATCTGGTGGTGGATCCCTACATGATCCAGGTGTCCACGTATGTCCAGAGAGTGGCCATGTACAGCCTCCGGTGCGCTGCGGAGGAGAACTGTCTAGCCAGGTGCTGCTCACCTTCTCATGATGCATTAAGAACATTTCTTCTGGGTTATGCGAGCATTAGAGGAACGTTACATTCTATCATTCTGAAAATCTTATGAGAACGTTACATTTGAATGTTCTCTTAACATCTAAAGCATCTAAAGGGCGTTTCTTCTTGGTTATGCAAACGTTGCCAGAACATTATATTTACAAATTTTGAAAATGTAATCTGAATGTGCTCTCAACATCTAAAACACCCAGTTTTTATACTTAAAGTTTTTGTAGTTTGTGTTAATGTTAGAGAAACATTCTATTCTGTATGTTGAAAATGTTACAATATTGTAACAATATGTAACAATGTTAAATGTAATTGTTCTCTAAATGTCTAAAACACCAGCGTTTTATATTTAAAGAACTTTTTTTTCTTGGTTATGCGAACGTTAGAGAAACATTCCATTCAATCATTTTGAAACTGTCATGAGAACGTTACATTTGCATGTCCTCTCAACTAAACATCCATTTTTTGTATTAAAATAGTTTTTTTCCCCTTGTTATGCGAATGTTAGAGAAACATTTAACTCTGTAATGAGAGCATACAAATAACATCATGAGGATGTTTCGAGAACATTGTTCTAAGAACATTTCCTCTCAACCGTAATGTTATAAAAAGAATGTTTTGTCCTAACGTTTACATAATCGTGAATGCTATGAACTTTCTCTGTTAGCTGGGATGTAGAAGCAGCAAGAGCTTCACTGCAGCCTGAAGTCACTCCAGTTCTGTAGAGGAGCATCAGTGCTCTGGTGCTTTAAAGAACCTGATCTGAAGAACCTATAATCAAACATAAGGAGCTTTTTAATCTGCCAAGAGCCATAACTCAGTAACTTGTGCAGAGGCAGAGCTGTTTCTTGATAAGAGGTTTCTCTGCTGAGCCTCTGTGAAGTCTCCCGCTGTGTTCCTCAGTTCGGCTGCAAACGCGCGGGATTACGACACCAGGGTCCTGCTGAGGTTCCCGCAGCACGTGAAGAATCAAGGAACCGCAGACTTTCTTCCCAGCAGACCGAGACACGACTGGGAATGGCACAGCTGTCACAAGTGAGGAGAAATACACATACATGTCACGGCCTTTGATAGAATAACTGCTGATGCTGCTGCATTTATGTACAATTCATTATTTATATTGTGATGCAAAGTAAAATATTTGAATGCGCACTACTGTTCAGAAGTGTTTTAAAAAGAAATGCATGCATTATTCATCAAGGATGCATTCAACTGATCAAAAATGTCATTAAAGAGATAGTTACAAAAAAAATGAATGCGGTCCTTTTGAATTTTATGTTCATCTGTGAATCCTTAAAAATAAAATGCATCACGGTTTCCACAAAAATATTGTGCAGCACAACTGTTTTCAACATTGATAATAATCAGAAATGTTTCTCGAGCAGCAAATCAGCATATTAGAATG